TTCCAGTGTAACGCGAGTGGAACTGTCGAGCGCGGACCAGTCTACGTATTTTATCGGCAGTTGGTGCGCATTGCATTGTTTATTTCGCATTGTTCGCTTGATTGTTACGAAAGCAGCTCGCAGCTCGCAAATACCGTATTTCTGGAGACGCGAATCAGCGTGTGAACGCTCGGCCGGGTATTTGTCTCAGATTCGGTATTTCGCAAATACCGTATTTCATAAATACGAGGTCTCGTGTGAACGAGGTTCGTATTTCATAAATACGAGGTCTCGTGTGAACGAGGCTATAGTTGTTGTACGAATTTATTTCTACTTAGAAGATGGTTTTATGTTTAGGTTTTGTTATGTGTACTGAATGCGCTTAAGTTTTATTAAATTTATATGAATAAATATAATGATGTCAGGTCAATCTCGAGCAAATCAATTAAATTATTTTTTTGCTGTCTTTATTAATGATGGGATAGTGCCTGCCCTGGCTGGCGCAACACAAATAAAATTTAAATAAGCCAATAATTAAATGGCTATATGTGTTCTACATTCTGAAATTATCTGTTTAATTTAGAAAACACAAAACCCACCTGTCATTTTAATAATCATAAACTGTCTACGCTTGTTTTTGCACATGCCTATAGTAGGGCCTATCTACTAAAATGGAAGAATATTTTTGTTTAAGTTATAAAAATAATGTAAAGCAAATATTCCTCGCTGTAGCTAGCTGATATGAATGATTATATCATTTCTTTCTATAATAACGATAACAGAGCTCTATCTGGCTTACTTAACGCGAATGAGATAAAAATCAGCCAGTAGGCCCTAGAGGGCGATTTGTGTCCAAATGATATATACACCTGCATATCATTCTATAGTCGCTATTAATTAATTTAAATAGTATCTTGTTGATATCATTCATTTCATTTAGAGAGTACATTTAGAGAGTATATTCACCAGTCATAACCTCTCTAATTATCTCAAATTTCATTACAGCACAGTATAGTGATAGACCTGTGTTAGCGCATGCCTAGAGTATCTGTCGAGCCCACAGCAAAAGCCGCATCCCGGCGTGCCTCGCGCACGAGCAAAAATTCGTCTGTCTTGCGCACACGGAATCCATCTTTCTTTTTTCCCCGCGGATCCTTCCCACGCGCGCGCGCAAACGCAACCCCAGATCGACGCGCGCGCAACGCGACGCGACAGAAAAACGACTGAGATTCGTAAGCGAGAGAGAGGGAGAGAGAGAGAGAGAGAGAGAGAGAGGGGGGGGTGCATGCGACGACGTCGCCCCGGCGACAGGTCGCCGAGCAGACGTGCCGCCTCTCACGACTGCCGCGCGCCGCGCTCGTTATCGTTCACTTCCGCCGACAGCTCGTGCTTCTCGACGCCGACGTCGGCCGTCAGCAACGCGGGGCCATCTTACAGAGAGAGAAAACCAGAGGGATCAGGCACGCTCAACGAAAAGCCGTTGGACCAACGTTGGCACGCTGAACAAAAAGCCGTTGGGCCAACGTTGGCTGTCTGACGTTGGGCCAACGTTGTCAATATGACGTTGGGGCAACGTTGGCACGCTGAGCAAAACGCCGTTGGGCCACTGTTGTCAATATGACGTTGGACCAACGTTGGCACGCTGAGTAAAAAGCCGTTGGATCAAAGTTGGCTGTCTGATGTTTGGCCAACGTTGGCAATATTACGTTGGGCCAACGTTGGCTGACTGCCGTTGGGCCAACAATGGGCCAACGTCGGGCCACTCTTGGGCCCAGCGTTGGCACGCTGAGCAAAAAGACGTTGGATCAATGTTGGCTGTCTGACGTCTGGCCAACGTTGCAAATATGACGTTGGGCCAACGTTGGCTGACTGCCGTTGTGCCAACGTTGGCACGCTGAGCAAAAAGACGTTGGGTCAACGTTGGCACGCTGAGCAAAAAGACGTTGGATCAACGTTGGCAGCCAACGTTGGCTCAACGTTAGCATGAGCTGAAGACAGTCGTTGTTCCAACGTTGGCCCAACGTCAGCATGTTATCTGGGATTACCGTAAATGTTCCGCTAAAGTCCTGTCGCTACAATGTCCACACTCAGGATGAGACCTATGGTGTCTTGAAAATGTGGGTAAAGACACCAAAATTATGCCTCTACGATATTTAGGATTTTAGTTATTCAAATTGGATTTCAAGATGGCCGCCATTTTATGCTTTTTTAAGTGTCATAACTGTGTTCTCTATTATCCGAAATGTGGGTATAGACACCAAAATTATGTCTCTACGACGTCTTGGAGTCTAGTTATTTAAAATATACAAATTTCACTGGCGGCGATCTTGAAATCTAATATGGCCGCTATACTATGTTCCTCTAAGTGTGATAATTGGGTTCTCCACTATCGAAAATGTGGGTATAGCCACCAACATTATGTCTCTACGACGTCTGGGAGTCCAGATATTTCAGAAAATCCATTTCCGCTGGCAGTCATTTTGGATTTTAAGATGGCCGCCACAATACGCAAAAGTCAGCCTTGAAACATACCCAGTGGAACTCCCCAAGTATCATAGAAATTATATTTACCCGTTTCCAGCCTCTACCCCAAAAGGTTTAGGGTCATCCTTATTTTGGATATCTGCCCCCTGCCTAAAACTGTAGTGCGCTACATTGATACTAAGCAGCGAGTGTCGTTTTTCACTCGTTTGATTCATTGTTCTGCCGGTGATTCCTCGTTTTGCCGGTGATTCACCGTTCTAACGGCGATTCACTATTCCACCGGTGATTCCCCGTTCTACTGCGGTGATTCCCCGTGCTGCCGGTGATTCCCCGTTCTACCGGGGTGATTCCCCGTGCTGCCGGTGATTCCCCATTCTACTGCGGTGATTCCCCGTGCTGCCGGTGATTCCCCATTCTACCGCGGTGATTCCCC